TATAAGGCTGTGTCTACACCTCACTTTCTCTGAAAATGTCCTGCGAGTTCCCTGCCACTGGACAGCCCTCTAGCATAGACAAGGCACTGCTGTTCCTGTCGGTGCATTTAACCTTGCTCCCAGCAAGACTAGATGACGTGGTTCAGGGAAGAAAGCCGCCAGCTGCCAATGCCTCGTCTACACCTGCACTACCGTTGGTGTGGCTGCCTCCGTGTTAACGAAATGGTACACAGGAAAAGCCGTGTCGGGGGCATCCATACTGAGGCTAATAGTCCAGAGTAATAACCCGCAGCTCTGTCAATGAGCCAGAGGCCTGGATGTTTGTTGACTTGCAGTATTTGGAACAGTCATGAAACCCTACCTTTCTTGAGTTTGTTGACACTTAAGTGATTTTGCTTTGCTGTGAATGTGATGTAAGATTTCAGGCTAGAGTTACTAGAGCAACTTTTCTCACTTGTCTTCATGCACTTTGGCTAATTCAACTGATGTTTTTAAATGATATGCTACTGTAAGTATTGGTAAAATAAACCTTATAGTAATTATTTCCTTGACAGTTGGAGTGATTTGTGCCTCAGTGTCCTTGAAGTCAGCAACTACAGTTTCTGAAGAATAGACTGAGCAGCAAGAAGGCCCAGGATGGTTTTGGTGCTAGCTTGGAACTCAGACTCAATTTAAGTTCTGCCCTTCACCACGGACTTCCTGTGTGATCTTGGTCAAGTCACTTAATCTCTCTGTGCCTCAGTTCCCCATCTGTAAAATGGGGATAATGGCACTTCCAGGCCTCACAGAGATGGTGGATAAATGCTTTAAAGATTGAGGCATTCTGAAATGATAATGGAAGCCACACACCTAAGATAGGAGTCTTACCTTTATGCAGTAAAGGTCTCTTCGTGCTTGCTGTCCCAGAGATTTGCATCCAAAAGCAGAGTTTATAGATCTAACCAAATTTGTTACACAGTCTACCCTTGTTTCCAGTGGCTTCATTCATACAAGAGCATCATGATGAGGAACAATTTTGCTTTGACATTTGCCTAGAGTATCCATAGCAGTAGCCTTGAAAGCCACATCTATCTTCCTGATTTACCTAAACCCCTTGTTTTAGAAGTAGATCCAGCTATGCAAACTCGAAGTACTGCTATTCAGAAGAGGGGCGAGAGACTGATCACCTAAAAGCACAGCTGGGTAGAGGATTCCTTTACAAGGCCGCAGCGTTTCGGGCATTGACTCTCCTGTGAAGCTGCTGCTGTTCTCGGAGCCCTGAGACCACCAATAGAAGGCAGGTGTAAAAGCAGGTCTGGCAATGACAAGACTGAGTCACTTTGTGAGTATCGTGGTAATCACCTCAGCAGCACTTGCAGGGAAAAGCAACAGTAAACCAGGCTCTGCCCAAGAACAGCAGCAGCTTAATGGCAAGAGCGTCACTAACATTAAGAACAGCAGGTCGATGTGGCAGTGTGTGCAAGGGGCAGCAGAGGTCTGAATGCTGGCTGCTGGCGCAAAGAAAATTCTGGCTAAGACGGGGAGCTGCTGCAGCATACTGTATTGTCAGTGACCCCATTATAATGGTGACGAACCACGCAGTGGAAGAGAGGGTTGGGAGATGTTTTGGAGACTTGGCACTGTAAATGTTGCTGCTCGGCCATAGGAACAGCTGACCATTATGCGTTCCTGCATCCAGCTTCAGAAAGAATTTGAGTATCTCTACTATCCCTGTAGGCATTTAATTTATGTGGGGCTTGGGGGTCAGCATGGCTGCTCTTGGCGATGGCCATTCATGCCCATTCCTTTGCAGAAAATATTTGTTTGTTAGCGAGAGGCATGTCTACAGGTTCAATCTCCTCTTCTACAAATTGTCAGCTAATAAATACCATGCAAAGCAAGAGAGCCTCCTCTCCCAATTCTCCCCTCCTTCTCACCTGCAGCACTAACAATGCCAGGATTTTCCATTTTACTAGTCAGTTCGGGCACATGCCTTTATACTTAACACAGTCAGCTTTGCAACAGTAATATTAAATAGCAAAATAGTAAACGTATATGGATTTGATTGCGGGAGAATTACACTGGAAGAGAAGTGCAGCTCTTGAGACTTAAAATACTCCTTGGGAATTACAGTTCTGATGATTTTTATTAAAGAAGGGGGGGGGGGATTTTTTAATGAACTTGTTTTGCATAATTTAGTGCACATTGTTCAGAGGCCTGAAAAGGGTCTGCTCATGTGGTTGCCATGGTAACCATCTTGTCAGGATAGTTTTAGTTGGGTGTAACAGTGATTCTTATTCCCAAAAGCGTGTTGTCAAGTCCACTCTCAGTCAAAGTGCAGCAGAAACGTTTTCCATATTATTTGCCTGTAGTTGAAAAATGATGCAGAATCGTAGCTAAATGCAGCATTTCTATTAGTGACAGGAAGTTCATGTGCAGCCCTGGCAGGACCTGGCCTAATGAATGTGATTTAGCAGCATCTATTCAAGCTCAGTGCATTCTTGTACCCATATTTTGCTCTTGTGTGGGTAGCCTGCTTTCGTGGTAGATCTGCTCAGGGTGTGAAACCAGGCCCTGGGTTCTGCAGGGAAAGCCTCCTGTTGCCGGGAAAGGTTTGGAGGAAGCCAAGCTGATGTTTGAGAGGCTTGTAAGGTAAGCCTGGGAAGTCTGGGTACCCTCTTCTTTACTGGGGACGTTTTGTTGAAGCTCCCAATTTTTTTAGGGAGGTCTCTTGCAGGGGACTAGAGATACAGGTACCTAGTGCTGGCTTGGACTAGTCTCCAGGCTACAGGGACAGGCTTATTTGTTGCAGGCATTAAAAGAATAGTCAGCAGCAACTGTTATGATGAAAGTCAGATGTTTTGTAGTTAAAGTAAGGGGAGGGTGTGCCTTGAAGTCTGATTGTGCTTCGAGCACCCACCCAGACACTGCCTCACTGCCAGGTCCTATTGCCAGTTCTTTTGTGTCTGACTCCAGAGTGTGCGCTCTCCTAATGTCCCCCATGGCCTTCCAATGAATTTTAGGCATTCGTTTATCACAATGAGCCGTGTGGGGCAGTTTGGGGGCTAGCTGGACGATTGGAGTTTGACCCTTCAAATTTCAGACAGATGAGAACCTCGCTGTCTAGTATAGAAATGACTCTCACTTGTGTAGGCTGAGATCCCCACTTGGGAATCTGCATCTACAGTTTGGTGCTTGCTCCACTGTGAAGAAGAGATGATGTAGGGTCCCATGCTGCACAGGGAGGCCACAATGCTACCGATTCTAGATGTATGCTTTCCTCTGCAGTTTGCCTGGCATGCCACAAACTCTCCTGTTTTATAACATGCAGAACTTGCTGCTGGAAATATTGGAAGGAGATGGCACAGCCAACTTCAGCAGGGCTAGAGTAGATGGGCCTCACCTGTCTCCGACTTAAAGATCTGTCAGCCCGGGATCCGTCACCCCCCCGGCTGGCTTGTTAATGGCTGTATTGACAGCAGGCCAGTGCATGTGATTGAGTGCCCAGACCAGAGGTGAATTACCGTCCATTTATCTAACAGCTCTGTCTTGGCTGAATAGTTTGCACGCGCCATAGATGCTAGTTTCTGAGCTTGATGTCATTGGAGTCATTGACCATTTGACTTCTGGAAATATTTAGACATAAAATAATCCTGTCAGAAGGAATTCCACATTTTGTTATATAAGGTTTTTTGGCAAGATATTTGGAGTTTTTAAATTCAGTGTCAGAGCTAATTTGGCACTGAAAACATGACTTTGACTTTTTTTTGAAGAACAACGCGAGAGCTCATCTGGTCTCCTTTCACATCTGCTCTGTATCCTTCCACCAGCTAATCTTATACCTGTATGTATTGTGTTTAGATGCTTCCCCAAAGGTAGGATTCATTAAACCACGAGTTTTTAGAAATTGTGCAAATAAACACTAAACACATGAATTCCCAACCCCTGCTCTAAACACGAACTGTGATCTTCCACCTCAGTGGTTGTTTCATGTACAGTGCACATTCTAAGCATTCTAAACCTTCAGCAGAAGCTAATGAGCCCCTGCAGCACTTGATAAAATCCAGCTCCTTTGCATTATACTGGATGCTTGTTTCAGCTAATTTCTAGCAATCATTAGCATTTAAATCTGCTTTTTAAGAGGTCACCCTGCTTAGCAGGTCAAGGTGCCACTTAGCAGTAACATTGCGGTCAGAGGGCCTGTGTCACTAAACAACGTGCTACGCTTACACATTTAAGGGACAAAGCGCTAACTGTCTGTAGGGCTGCTCTGGAAGGTTCAAGCAGCATTGCTGGCAGGATAGCTTCCTGTCCATCTCTTGCCGAACGCAGCGGTTGGCGCATGCATTTCTGCCAGTCCTGGAATTCCTCAGTCTGACCCAATGTGGCATAATAGACTGAGTGGGGGGTCAGAACACAGCATGTGCTAATGTTATACTGGAGCCTCAGTCTCTTAAGCCATGACAGTGTCACTTGGTGATCAGCTGCTTGCTCGTGTGCAGCTCAGACACGACAGGTACCAAAGAGGTCCGCTGTAGCAAGCGTTCCATGCTCACAAGCGAAAACATGATGATGGTTCTCTGCCATTGTTCAGCTCTTTCTCTGATGCTGGCACATGGCATCCAGAGAAGTCTCCTCAAGCCCATTCCCTGGCCGGGAGGGATGTGGGGGGTGGGCTGTGTCCTCAGTGATGCTCTCCCTGTGTATTCCTATAGAACGAGCATGGGGAAGGGAGGACATGAAGCTATGTGGGGAACACCAGATAATCAACTGGAGCAAAGCCCTCGGCCTTGGGAGGCTTAATTAATGGTTTATACAGCTCTTTGCCATTCCCCAATCTCTTTGGTGCATCTCCAGGAAATTAGCTGCTATACCTGGGCTTCTTGCTTTCGTTACCCATCACCCTCAGCGTAGCTTTCCTTGTACAGAATTTATGCTCCTAAAGTGCTACACAGGCTTTACTGCCAGGTGTTTCCAATGTATCTGTATTTTTAACACTTCTTTTCTCTTTTCTTTTCAAGGTGCGAAGAGGGTGACTAACAGGGCAACTCTGTGGTATGTGCCTCTTTCTCTAAAGAACGTGGACAAAGTCCTGGAAGTTCCTCCTATTCAGGTAGCTACCTATACGTTCGCTCAGAATCCTTACACTCAGAACTTAGTGCATGCGTTTGCAGAGATTTGGAGTAGGGCGTATTCTATTCCAGACTCTTAACGTTCATTTTTCTAACTAAAAGTTGACATGTCTCCCTCCAGGCCAGTCGGAGCAGGTGCAGCATCGGAGTAATACTAGCTTTGCTATTACGATGTCCGATTTCAGGGGTGTGGGCAGTTTTGTGTTTCTTCTCTCTCCCCCCTCACTCCTCTTTGAGGAAAAGATGCTCTGACTAATGTAACTACTGTATCTTCACCACTTTGAGGGTACTGAAGCAGGTGGCAGTGATCTCAGGAAATATTGCACCACAGAAAATGAACTTCTTTACGCCATAGCCAAGTGAGACTTAACCAGTTAATGCAAGAGAGCAAGGCATAAATTAAGCGATTGAAGTCTCTCCTTTCTCCTTTAAGTGGGAGAGCTGACAGACTTGGCTTTGCAGAAGGAGAGGATGCTGCTCTTCAGGACTCAAACTGGCTGTTTCCAGAAGGATCTGTAGATGCTCTGAGGCCACAGACTGTACTTTTGAGCTCTATTTTCACTAGATACAGCGACCAAGATGCGTAGACCTGGAAGGGGTTCAGTACCTGTGTGCAACCCACAAAAAGGCTGGTACTAAACTTACCGGATAAAATAGCTGTGCTTTGAAGAGCAACAAAATGACTCTAGAATAACTTTCTTTGGCTTTCAAGTAATTAAAGTGCAGGGATGAAACAGAGTCTGTATTTTGGTGTCAGAGTGACAAATCCTTAAGGATAAGGATGTAAAAATAAATGAGTGACTCATCCTAAACTCTCCTTCTAAATAAACATATGTTCAGGGAAATGCTTTGTACAACCCTGTGTGCGCCAGAAAATATCTCTAGCTAGTCTAGACGAATCACCTGCTAAGTGTACATATGTAACAGGGTTCTCTCACCATGGTGGTGCTGCCTGCTGGCCGTCTTGGGAATTAGCTCTGTGCCCTCTTCAGGTGGTGTCTTGCTGTTGTCACTCCTGGTCTAGGGCCCACGTCTCTCCAAGGACCGCATCATCCTCTTCAGCGACACAGCCCTCTGCCCGTGCCACACACTTAGGTGGACCTGCAGTCTGCTGTTCAGCCACTTCCCTTAGTGGCTACTGCAGCAACTTGTCTGGACACTTCCTCGTGGCCCCAGCGTCCTCTTTGCCCTTGTCTCAGGGCCTCAGCCTGCAAATGCAGCAGCCAGCCAGGAGCGCTCTCTCACTCCCCCTGTCCCTGCTCGCAGCACTGTTCTGTCCAGGGTGCTGGCAGTTCTCTCAGCTCTCCAGAGACACAGTCCTTCCTCCCTAGACTCCCAGCAGAGAACTGAACTCCTCTGCCCTGCAGCTCCCTTTTCATATGGGCCTGCTTGGTCCTGATTGGCTGCTCCCTTCAGCCCTTCCTGATTGGCTGCCTCCTGCGCAGCCTCCCTAGGGCTCTATTAACCCCTTAGAGTCCAGGGTGGGGAAGGCACCCCATCAAAACAGAAAATACTTTGTCAAGTTAGAATTAGCTTTTCACCCCATCCATATGTCTTGTAATTCTCCTTCTCCTACAATCGGAGTTCTAACATGTATGCAGTCCTCTAAAATATCTTTTGGTTGACCCCTTCTACTGTTAAAAAAATATATAATATCCCCCCCCGCCCCCCCCTCCCAGTCAGATATGACTGAGTGACCAAAATGTCAAGTTTGAAATACCTGAGTTCTCTGGGGCTACAGGTTTTGAGGAAGGTTTTCCACTACTCCCAGCTCTTCTCTGCCAAAGCGTTGACTTGGTTTGCTCAGTATTGGGACTTGAGGCCTGATCCACTTTGGCCTGCTTGAGTCAGTGGGATTCTTTCCATTGACTTCAGTGGGAGTTGGATCAGGCTCTTGGTGAAGAATTTAGGTAGGTTCTTAAAGGTTAAGAATAGTAAGAAAAAAACTGGAAGGTGAGACTAAAGAAAAGAGGTGTGGGAAACAGGTGTAATTGTCTAGTGAAATTGCAGGTCGCCTCAAAAGTGAGATTTATGGACTTTCCTGTCCTGGCCAAAGTCTTTATATTCACTGGTGAATACTAAATGTAGTAAACCACTTACTTTTACATGTGAAGTGACCTTTCCTTTGTGGTGGTGGTCTTACATTTTGCTTTCTGATAGCGTGAGGCCTTTCTCCTTCCAGTCCCTAATGAATCATGCACACCTGTGGTGTTTCATAACTAATGATTGGGTGCATAATTTTACTTCCAAATGATCTTCCATGTTTTGGCATGTCAGGCGCCTTGACATAAACTCATTCTTTGCCTAGCAGAGTCTTAAGGGAACTGTAAACATCAACACAGCTCTTCAGTTGGCTCTGCCAATGTAGTCATTGGAGCTACTCTACTTTTGAGTGCATTGGATTTGCATTGCCAAGAGAGGTTAATCCTGTTAATGAGGATTAAAGCGGGATATTTTTGTTCTTTACTCAGCAATTGTTTGCTTCAGACTTCGGGTAGCACATTCTCTCTCTTCCTGTACTTGGATGTCTCCTTCCAGGAACTCTTGAGTCCTTGAAGTCCCCTGCCAGTATGTTAGTGACCAATATTTCATCTAGCAGGATGGAGGATTCATATACCTCTTACCTGGAAAAGATTTGTTGAGCACAGAGTTGTGATTCCAGCATTTTCCCTGCCAAGCTACATCTCACACCAAACACATCTCTCCTTTCTGCCTCCAGATCAGAATAAGTTTATTTATCTGGTATTTTACTCTTCTTCCAGAGTACTAAGGACTTGAGTCAGTTTCCCAAACATCCTCTCCTCTTACCCTATCTGAAAGGACTTAAAACCCTACTCTTCCTGTGATCTTTTATGCAATTTGTCAAGCTCAGACTTTGGTCATTTTAGAGGGTTTCAAAACCCATCTTAACTTGTCGTCTTGGTCAGAGCCCAAATAACCATTTGAAACAAGAGGTTGATGCCTCATTTAGATGATAAATGAGGTTTCATTGTTACCCCATCCAAACTTAATTGAGTTCTTTACAGTTACACCTCTGAGGTCTGAATGAGCTGGCTGATGTGTCTTGGTTTTAATTGAGTTAATATAATGTATTAAAGTCTCCAGTAAAAGCCATTGTTATGTCTGATATTGGCCTGATAATAGATGTGCTATTGCCAGCAAAATGTTAATTAGGGCATTAGGTTACCTTTCACGTGTTCCCCCTCACATGTATGAATGTGCTCTCCAAATCAAAATGGCAAGGGACAATCTGCCTACCCAGTACTTAAACTCTCTTTACTGGTGAGAAGCTGCTGTTGCCTAAGCTGTATTCTCTTCAGGACTGGTACTGATGCAATTTTGCTCAATTTATTTATTTGGATCTTTCGGGTGGGTGAGAGAGGCAAGGAGACCAAGCATGGAAAATTTCAACCTAAAAGGTGACTGCTTCAGGAAGTCGCGTGTGGAAAGTGACTTGTAAGAAAGTACCCTGAAGTGTGGCAGATGTTGTTAGATACCCACTCTAATATGTCTTGGGCTGCAGACTTGACTCCTTCAGGAGTGGTCAGCACCATGTGTAACTCCACCAGGTTCTCACCTCTGAGTTCTAGTCTTATGATGTGGTTAATGCTCATTGACTCACCAAAGATACCAGGCTTCTCCAGAGCCATTGCTATTGTGTAATTTATGGAGAAAGTTACACTTAAATCTATTCTCCGCATGTCTCTAAAAATGCCATGCTAAACTAACTAGCCATAGGGCAAAGTCCTCTCTAGTAACTTTCTGATTTGTTTGTGCCGACCAAAGTTATCGGCACACCTGAACTGTGAGTACAGGGCATTGACTATGAGCTAATAGGGTCCTGCTGTGCTGCACGTCTTCCATGTGAGAGCGGTGGGCAGTCAAACATCCACCTGGAGAGGCGGCCCTCTTCGGGCCGAAGACTTTAGACATCTTGCTTCTGTTGGGCTCTAGACTGGCATCTGTAGGTCTGTTTGCTGAAAATGATGGAGATAAAAGTTGATCTCGTAGGCAGCCTAGCTTAGTCCTCAGGATAAGTGCAGGAATTCCTCTGTCCAGGGCATCACTAGGGCAAATTCTGGAAGATTACATAGGCAATTTAGTAGGAGCCAGAGAACTGCCCCTTGTTATGTTAGCATTGAGCAAGTTCAGCTGCCGGCATCTCAACTATAGAGGTGTGTTTTTCTGCTCAGGATCAAGTGCTGCATAATAGGACCTGTAGTTGCTGTAGCTACCCCACTGCACAATGCATATTGTTTGAAATTGGCTCCTGAGCCTTGTGCTGGTATCCACTATAGCCAGCAAACCGATCTGGAATGCAGTGGCCACCAACACTTGTTCACTAACCTACTCGGTTAGGTAGCACATAAACTTCCATTAGAAAGTTTCTAATCCTGTTGTTGTGATACTCTAGTTCCCCCCACCCACTACTTGTCCTTCTCCAACACTTGCCTCCGGCACTAAAGGGAATGTCCTGATGTTAGCAGCATTGGAGACAAATGGCTGAGGCTGGGCACCAGTTTCCCCGCTGGCTTCACAATGGGAAGCACTTCCCTGTCTGAACACTGTTTAATATTAAACACTTCTTACTGTTAACTCACTGTTGATACATCATAAGACTTGCAGGGACTTTCTTCCATGCTGGGAATGGCAAATGTCACTCTTCTTCAAGATGACCACCACCATTAGGGAGCTGGGAGAAGTTTGCAAAGCCAGTTCAGTTATTGCTAAATGGTTGTACCTTTCTTTGGAGTACTCACCAGGTTTCTCCAGCACCCCCAAGCCGAGAACACCTAATAAGACCATTCTGCTGCCCTCCTGTAAACAAGCACTAACTTTGTTGGATAGGGCACGGTCATGATATTCTATGAGGAAATACGATTTAGCTGAAAGGAAGTTCATACACTGATTAAAAGTGGCTTTGCACTTCATTGGGGAAGCAGAACCATGGGAAGAAAACTAGTTAGACAGCACTAGAACA